GTCACTTTCCTTTTCTTTGGTGTCTCCATTCTCTGACAATAGCAGCTGGTGCCCATTTTCCTACTAAGTGATTCACATTTTGCCACTTTACTAGAGTGCAATTAGCTGGAGCAGAAAAAAATGCTCAATGTAAAGCAGCTCGGCTGAAATTGTTACTCAGCTCTTTAACAGGACCCGGTGAATGTCTTGAGGTGTTGTCGTGGGCGTCGGTGCGAGAAGCAACATTTTCTTTTCTTTGCCTGCAAACGTTTTTTCTCTTTTACATTCAGAGAGGCTGAGCACGTTCACTGGAACATGCTGCACTGTTTGTTGTCTACTGATTTTAGTATAGACCTGTGAAATGATACTGAAAGTAAGACGGTATTTAAAAGGAGATGTATTTATGGTCAAAGCTAGGATCTGGCTTCCATTCCTGACTCTGCTTCTGACTTACTGTGTCACCTAGACCAAGAAAATCTTTAATGTGTTGACATTCATAGCTAAGTATGAGGATAGTAAGACCTTTTTGGTTGACATCCATGTGAGAGGAATCTATGGGAGGAAAATCAAATGGGTTGTACTGTTAGCATGAAAAGTACCTAGGTGTGCATAATAACACCTGCCTTGCTGATGCTCCCACATAGTAACTGTCAATACAAATGTCAACAGCTAACAATCCATTCTGATATTTATGGAAATAGGGCAATTCTCTCCTCAAGAAAAGAAAAAAACTTCGTGTGCAGGTAAAACTGGACTTTTGTTGATCTGTAGTAAAGGTGGGCACTTTAATTATTGTGACTAATCACTACTGTCACTGATACCACCAACACAGCTCTGAAGTAATGAATGATGCTGTAAGCAGAGCTTTTCCTGTTTGAAAAGGGAGCATGAAATGTGTTCATGGATTATGAAGTATTGGCATGTTGTTTTGACCTCCTTTGGGTATTGGTAATAAGACGAGGGAAAAGTAACTTTGTGAACCAATTATATGTATGGATGGAATATAAAGAGGTCCCGGTGGCTTGAATGAGCTTTTCTTTTTTAAGGCTATATACTGTAATCAGATGCAGTTAATTTTTGCACTCCACTTGTCTATTGATACTGATTTAGCCAGTGTCAGCACTGTCAATATCATTAGTAATGTGGCAGGTAGATGGAAATATGAATGTGATTGCATTAATAAATTCTTAATATATTCAGTCTTTCATAAGCACATAGCATTACAATTTATTCGCTATTGTTTAAGACTGTTTTAAAATGGGAGTGTGTCATTGTATCTTACTGCCAGCACTTCCTGGCTTCAGGTCTTACTTAAATGAAGATGTTATGAAGTAAATTTAGAAGGGATGTTAAGATTTGTGCTGTATATTGCATATTACCCAAGGCTTGCAGCACCCTATGTATTTTCTCTTGCGCATGGGCATGGAAATGCTTCTAGAACCGATTAGTTACTTTCCCTAAAGTTACTGAAAGGAAAATTTGCCTGAGATCTCCCATTTGTGAGAACTGGGACAGCCCACCACAAATGGTGCTGCCACCTATTTGGCTTAAAATCTAGTAAAAAAAAAAAAACAACCCCACCAAGGCTTTAAAATAAATACTGTACGTTTTTATATGACACATGTTATTTCTATTCATAAACCTTAACTAAATTTAGATTTTTATTAATCCAATGTGACCTAAAAATTTTGCATTAACAGCACAATGTGGAATTGGGCTTATTCTCTTTGAATGCAGATAAAGCCATCATCTTGAAAATAGCTCTTTCTGACAAAAAGGTGTTCTTTTGAAATAAAGTCTTATTCACTACATTCCTCTTAGAGTTAATGTGAATTTTAGTGCCTCTAATTTTAGATTGAAGTGAGGTCTAGAATAAAACCCACCGGCTGACAATTGAATTTATAGATAGTTGTGAATATTTCAGGCTTGAATAATAGAGCTGTAGAATTTCAGACACAGAGAGGAAGAGAGAATTAAGCTCCAACTGTAGTTTTAGACTATAATGCAATGGTGTCTAGGAATTCTTCAGTCTAACGAGCTAAGTAGTAATTAGGAGGGAACTGAGGGAGGGATTTTACAGAGATCTAGCTTAGGCATTATTCCAAATGTTCAGCATGATAATTTGATGGTGGCCACACCTGCCATCCGTATTAGATGGTTCTTGAATTACTTTTGTTCAGTAAGGAAGGAGTGAAAGCCGTAGGTGTCTGTTGCCCACCCACAGCCAGTACCCAGCCTTGTCTCTGTTTTCACCTTCCGGGGACTGAGAAAGTTTTTGTTCTCAGAGTCAGGTGCTGTTGTTTTCACTTTTCCTTGGAATGGTTAATGTTTTAACTGCATTTGTGCTTTGCCAACGTGCACCAAATCCAGTCTGCACTGTTAAAGCTGGAGCCAAAAGCAGCTCTGTCTTGGTTAGTACCAGAAACTGCTACTTCAGAAGCATCAGCAGACTGGCTTTAGCATAGGCAGTGCTGGTGATCAGATTTTAATGCTTGGAGAACTGAGATTGTATTTTGGTTCTGACTGCTCGGAGTGGGAGATATCCACTTTTGTACTGGCTAAAACAACGTGCCTTTGACCAGCTAATTAGTTGCAAATGTGTTTTTCTGGAAGGGGAAGGGTGACATTCGAGCTCATTATTGCACAAATTAGATAAAAAAACCAGCAGTGGGATCTTCCACAAGAACGTGCCGGTTATGACAGACTGTAGGCAGTGACTCCTAGTGCTGTATTTTGAGACTTTATGTGTGAAGTCTCAGCAGAAGGGAGGGGAAAAGAGAACCAAGTACCTGTTTAGTCAATAAAAGCATCTTAGTGTTAATGTGTAGAAAAATAACATAAAAAATTAGTAAAATGTGAAAGTTAATTGATAATTTTAATCGTAGCTGTATAAAATTCAGTGCCAAAGAAAGAGGAGAGACAGAGAGACACCGTGTTTTAGTACCCTAATAACTCCTAACTCCAGTCTAAGATCGTAATGTATGTGAGAGCGGTCCAGTAATTATAAGGTAATAAGTGGAGTGGTGGTGTAAGTGCTCTAAATTAAGAGGAATTCGCAGAGCTGCTGTAAGTCAGTGCCGACCCCCTTTCTTTCAAACGTTGACTTGAGAAAAGTGCTTAGCCCAGAGTGCAAGTAGAAAGACAAGAGAGAGCTATCTATTAATTACAGCACTCATTAACAGTGACGGCTACAAGGCAGCAGATGCAGAAGAAAAGGCACACGCTACTGCAGGCTGGCAAGGGGATTTCCCCCCCTCCAGTTCTTGAGGAAAGGACAACACAAGCAGGTGGTCCAATGTAATAAGATATTTTCACGGCTTTAACCTTCCCATTTCCTTGGTTTATTTGCTGACACCAGAGAGCTTGCTCCTTCCACCTCCCCAAATAAGCACTGATTTTAAGTTTAGAGGTTGACATTTCTGTACATCAATCTGGCTGTTTTCCAAATTCACACATTGTTTGTTTTCAATAGAATTTTACAGTACAAATGATAATTTAGAGGTCTTGACTAGGATCCATGGGCACTGATTTTAGGGTGAATCTCATCCTAAGCAGATATCTTTAATGAAGGCTTTGATCTCAGTTACCCTCATTGGAAAGGAAGCCAGCTCTCTGGATTTATATCTGTCTTCCACTGATGAATTTGATTCCAAATATTGAAGTAGAAATATATTTAAATTTTTTATTTTTAAACACAAAGAGGTGGAAAAGTGAAGACAAGATCTCAAAAATTAACTTAGAAAGTTAAAGTCAGTCTAATTGTCTGGACTGATATGTTTGCTTTGAAAACATGAATCCATAGCTCCATGTGGGTGGCCTTATGGGATAATTGCTTTTTTGCAGTTAATGTTTCTAGAGAAATGCTCATAACTGTCATCTGTACTTTGGCAGCTTCTGAGAGTGCTGTCAGGAAAATGCTGGATAGGCTATTTGCTACTGGGGTTTCATAATCACAGCTGTAGAAAATGGAGATAATATCTGATTCTGAGCTTTCTAATTATTATTTTTGTCCTTTGTTCAACCTAACTTAAGGTGTGTTTAAAAATAATAAAGCACTTGGGTTTGGAAATAGACAAAGATTTCTCCCCTTATTCCCCCTGCAGAAAGCATTTTGTTGGATCAGATGTTGTATGGTTTTATTTCAGATACTTAATTCTGAAAATGTGAGAACTGAGAAGACAGAATCTCACCTTCTGAAAGACAAAATTTTGTGTAGAATTTCCTCTAATATATTTTTTTAATCCAAAAATGGAACACATAAAATGTCAGATCCTATAGAGCTGCAGATATATGGGGTAGTGGCATAGTTATTACTGGTTAGTCTGAGGATAATGGCTAGAAAGTAATTGCAGCCAGAGCTGATGAATCATTTCACTTAGATTTTGTGAAAATGGAGTCCAACCTTAATTATTTGTTAGAGTTCCTCGTTGATGTGCTACTCCGTTACTAGATACAGCTATTTAGCTGTATCTATAATAAAGCAATATTAATAAAGGAAAAAGAAGATTGCAAGAGACTTGCTCTTCAATTCTGGGATCAGATCAATAGATGATGGATACGTGTTTTAGTCAAGTGCCTTGACAAATATTAATTACAGAGCAGAACATCTATGTGATCAAACTTGGAAGTATTTGTTTCTGATAATGATGGAATTTACAGAAAGAAAGTATAGATTGAAAAATGAAGACATTTAATAGCCAAGTCATCTTAATAGGATTTTTAAGATTTTTTGACTTGCTGGATGACAAGTTCAGAATTTAGAGTTGATGTGAAGTTGACATGTAGCCTAGAGGGCAGGTGGAGGGGACAACAGATGGATTTGGTCTCTTTAAAGTTTTTGTTTACTGCCTGTCTGGAGCTTTGACAAAGCTCTGTCATGCCCTTATGCTGATTACCTTCATGTAGAACAAGAAGTATTGACTAATGAATGAATGATGTGCAGTCCCTAACCCTTCCAGAGCAGCCTTAAAGAGCACTGTCTTTAATACACAGATTCTTCTTTCTCTCTCTCCCCACTACAGGCTTCTCTGCAGAATGTCAAGCAAAGATCGACACATTGATTCTAGCTGTTCGTCGTACATCAAGACGGAACCGTCGAGCCCTGCCTCTCTGACGGACAGCATCAACCACCACAGCCCCGGTGGCTCCTCCGACGCCAGCGGGAGCTACAGTTCCACCATGAATGGACATCAGAACGGGCTGGACTCACCTCCCCTCTACCCTTCAGCCACGGGGCTTGGGGGCAACGGGCCGGTCAGGAAACGGTATGATGACTGCTCCAGTACCATCGCTGAAGATTCACAGACCAAGTGTGAATATATGCTGAACTCGATGCCCAAAAGACTGTGTTTGGTGTGTGGTGACATTGCGTCGGGGTACCACTATGGAGTGGCTTCCTGCGAAGCCTGCAAGGCTTTCTTCAAGAGGACAATTCAAGGTGGGTTATTCTTTAAACTTTCTCTCTTTTGCTCAAAATGAAAAAGTACAGTCTCAGACTGAATCCTGTTAGGTCTTCAGACTGTACCTTTTCATTCTTCATACTGTGTGGTCCTACAGATATTGGTCATGAAAAAGCCCCCTTGGGCTTCTTCAGGAGTTCTGTCTGTCATGTTAAGACCCCTACCATGTTTATTTTGATTCTGAAAAATAGAAAATCACTGGAGCTATGCAGTACACGTTCAGATTTGTTTTTGTTTGAGTTTCTCATGGATTCCCATAAATGCTTGTTGTGAAGGAAGAAGAATGCTTGCTGAAGGTTGTTATGTACTCCTCTTGAACACACCTGGTGGCACACAGGGATCATGCTTGTGTTTTGCTCCTAGTTACACCACTACCGTACTTAAATTGTTACAGAAATCCAGTTTATTTTTGTTAAAGCACCGGTGCATTTTAAATTGGTACAAATGCTTTGTGCATATCAGTGTATTAATGACTGGTCTTTCACCCATTATATACAGTGGCCTTCAGCACATTTAACAAATAACTGTAAGATCACGTTCTAAGGAGAGTACGTTGGCAGCTTTTGGTCTCTGCTCGGTACTTTGTACTAATCTGTTCTTGATACCTGTTACAAATATGCCACATATTTTGGCATAAATTAGTATGAATGGGATAATTTGCATGACCGCTTCTACTAGCTTCAGAACCTATGGAGACAAAATAACCTTCTGCTTTGATTTAGATATCATCCTTTCAAGTAAAATTGAAGGTGCTTTATTTAAAGAACATGAGGCCAAGCTTGGCCTGTACAGGAAAGTAGTGTCACATTAAATTAAATTCAGACTTCAGAGACTAAAATTAGGTTGCTAAGTCCAAATTTAAGCTCCTCAATAAAACCAGCTTGATTTTCATACATGTCAAGCACCTGGAATTCTCAGGAAAAGACAGTGCGATCTATTGACACACTTTTCTTTTTAAAAATGAACATAAAGTGAGATTTAGTTTATAATTTCACATAAACCAAAATTTCAAATATTTGGCCAAGATTTTTTAAATACAGTACTTCCATATTTAGTGTAAAATTAATAAGGAAAAATAATGAATGTTATTTTAATTTATCCAGTGCTGAGGCAATGGCCATCTTGTTCTTCTTTCATCCATTTTACTGGTGGAGGGATTTGTGCTTTCTACTAGCGTGAAGTACCCATTTTACCACCGCCATGTAACCACTAAAAAAAAACATTAGGCTTTAGTTGTTCTGATGGAGCAGAATGTTACACTGTTTGCAAGCAGTAAACAAAGATGCCTGTGAAGGTTGATAGTGGTGGCCTGGGTTCATATGTAAAATGATCACACATGTAGAAACAGTGTGCTCATTTCAAATGTCTGTTTTGGAAAAAGTAAAAAAAAAAAAAAATGAGGTAGGTGATTTCACTTGACCTTCAAGAACATTTTCAGAAAAGCTCAAAAAAATGTTTCCACTGAAGCAATTTGTATTTTGTGGTTGCTAAACTTCAAGCACCGATTTCAACCCAGCAACTCTGTTTTTATAAATGGTATTTAATTGCTGTGTAATAGCTGTCCTACAGGACCGAATTGATGCATGATTATTTTAGTCGTATTGTGAGTATGAAAAAAAATGCCACAGAAACGTTAACTGATTGAAGTGTTGACTTCTGGCAGCAATTTTACACCACACCACAGACAGCAAGTTTCTGGGCACGGAAGCACAAGACAGGGACGTCATTCTCCAGATTAGCAACCTGGACTTGGCCATGCAGCTCAAGTTAGAACTGGCAGCTGTGCAAAATGTCTCAGTACAGTTAGAGCAGTAGCTGCATCAGCAGGTGACAGTGCTGTGAAGACAAAAAAATAATGCAGTAAGGCAAAACCAGGCATCGAATGGAAAAGCAGTAATGAAGAAACTAAGAATAGGAAGTATGTTACCATCATAATGTCATGGCAGCATCTTCACTTATGATGCTGACTAACCTGGCACAACTGATGAGAATTTTCAGATGCCATCCAAAATAATGGAAGCTACTTATTTTGGTGAATAAAACCATGAATTGTGGTAAATGACAAAAAGTATTTAAGAAAAAGGTGATTCTTCATGTTTTGAATGGGCAAATTCTACCTTTAGACTTGCTGAAGAGTAATTCTCCTGAGGGTTTTTTGATCTAATCGATAAAATTTAGTCCCAGTGTTCTGGAGGTTGTTCTTCCCTGTACCCCATTTCACTTCCTCATTCATATCACTTTTTTTCTCTACTTGTTTTTTCTCTGATTGCTGCATAACTGCAAAAAAGAAAACAGGAAAACAGAAAAAAACAAATACAAAATAGAAAACCAGACTACCTGAAGAGTAAAATACTGTAACAGCATATGTAAGAATAATATATCTCGGCTCAAAAAATTGCTTACTTTAAATGCTAATAACATAACCGTGATGGGTACTTAATTATAGATGTAATGAAAAAGAACTTCTGACTTCCTAGACCTTGCTTGTTGATCATTCATCAGTTTACTAAGTTAGCTCAGACTTGTTGATCCTAAGTGCTGCTCCCGTTGACGTCATGGGCACACCTGCTCTGACTTCAGTGGGAGGAAGGCTGAGCTGATAAAGTGAGATTGTGAAGCACATCTTGTGTTCACGAAAGGCCCAGTGTCCTTTCCACTGAGTCAGTGGGAGTCTTTCCATTCTTTCCATTTCAAAGGAGTCTCTTGAAATATCGGTAGGTGAAGGCCACAGGCAGCTGCTCAGGGAACCAGCACAGTATCTGTACACCACCAGCATCTTTTACATGAGGCAGAAGTGAAGTGTATCACAGGATACCTGGTAGCCCCTACACAAGGCAAGTATCACTCTAATGTAGAGTATACACCTGCTTTTAAGGGTAATGGAGATTATCATTCCCCTTCAGATTCAGCAGTTTAATCTAAAAAACATCCCTTCCTGGATTATGATTTATCCTCTTCTTCTTCCTGCCACTTGCATTCCCTGCTAATTTTGTTAAAAATTAAGAAATTAAATGAACTGTTTTGAATTAGAAGGAGTAATTCTGTCTTTTTTGAACATAGATATTTTTAACATAGCACAGAAATACATTTGGATTTGTGGCAAAGAATACATAATTATGATAACAATCAATAATATTATAAAAAATTAGAAACAAGAAACTGCCTGGCTAAAAAAACCCAAAGATAAACAGAACAAAACCCACCAAAAAAGAGCTTAATATACAAAATCAGTGTCTTCTTAGGTCACAGTAGAATCCAGTGATGTTCTGCCCCATTTGTGACATGGTAGGGATGGGAGAACTGGATGTTCTCTCTGCTCAGGCTAATACTCACTGAGCTGCAGCTCTCAGTTTGCTTCTGGGATAATTTACATGGTGGCTGATTGCAAATGTCTCACAGAAATACACACACAGCCAAATCTCCCCAAAATTGGCTTAACATCAGGAATAGCAGAAAATAGCAACATCTAAAAATAGTTACAGGTCCATTGATTTTTAGGGTCTCTTCACAGTTTTTGCTGTGCACTGTATTATCTTGAAAACTCCAAGCTTTCATTAAAAGAAGAGAGGAAAAAAAGAATTTTCAGTTGTCAGCTGGGTGCCAAGTCTTGTGTTCAGCACAGAGGTCTTGTACTTACTAGATATTTTGTAGTGAATGTTTAGTGTAAATATATTTCTCATAATTTTTATTTGCTCAGTTATCATAAAGGCTAGTAAGTACACATTTTGCATTAATAATATGTAATTACTCAGTGCCTGTAACTTAAACATTTCAGCAAGTGGATTGAAATGATATTCTTGCTTTCAGTAGAAGGATGATAGGACTTACAGATTCAAAGACAGTTTATTATGCTGTTTTATTTAGGCATTTTTCTCTCTAAAATAATGACCCACATCTAGAAAGCTTTCTTCCTCCCTCTTTCCAAATCATCAGGACTGTTGTCTTTGGACTCTTTAAAGTAGCATGAAGAGACAGTGTGTAAAGCCTATGTACTGATATGTTGCCTTCTTCATAAGGCTTGTCACAAAAGTCTCATATTATTTCCTTGTATAGTGTTTGAATTTCCCTCACAAAAGCTCAAATATTTTGCAATCAATAGTCCTTTGGAGTCTGTTTGGGTTTTTTTTTCATATGTTTATTTTTTAAGGAAAAACTGTTGGATGAACAGTATTGAGGCAGCAATCTTCTTTTTATACCCAGGGTGATTAAAGCAATAGGTCATAAGAAGCACTGTAATCATATCTTTACCATTTCATTTAAGAGCTTCATCCCTGAGAGTTGCTGCCTGTCCATGCCTCCTAACACAAACAAGAAATATTCTATCCTTGAGATACTGTTGTCTTTTTGGCTATTACGTGAACTAGACCAAGCGTGCTTTCTCATTTTTTGCTGCTCAGCTAAGAGCCTTCAGCTCTACAGTTCTGCAGTGATGTCACTGTTGTCTTCAAAGCCTGCCCAAAGTGCTTTGTACGTTTTTCACCTTTTTGGTTACTCAGAGTTGTTTTTAATCCCTCTAGTGTTCAGGTCTGTCAACCCTCTTTAGAGTGTTGACCCATTGCTGAGCCAATTTGATCTGGAAATGTACGAACACTAATTTCTTTTTTTTTTTTAAATCAGGAAGTTTTAATCAGGAAAGTTAGAACTAGCTATGTACATTCAGATAAGGCAACATAAAGTTTGATTCGAAGTTGCACATGACCAAAGTGGCTTCCAAAGGGTGTTTTGCATCTCTGAAAGCTGACTTCTCTAATACATTTTTGTTGAGGAAATGAAAGCAAATTAAGCAAGATTTTATGGCTTTTCAGCATCTTTGCTGGTAGCTAAGATTATTGTTGTTTTATAGAGGGTAGGGTGGAGGCTTACATCTTGGTGCACTAGCCTATGGACCTTGGCTCTGGTGTAAAGATGGCAGCCCTCCAGGGAACCTAACACTAAATGTCACCTGAATCCATCATTACCTGATTAAATCATTCACCTT